CCAGCCTACTGGAAGCTGTTTCTCTGTAACTCTCAGCATCTGTCCTCCACTGTGTATATCCATCAAACAAACACTTATCAACAGGTGCTCTCCTCTCCCAGACAATGGGGATTATCTTCCTTAGCCAGATTGCAAACTCTCAGAAGGCAGCTGCTGAAGGGAAACAGAATCTTTTACTTGACACTTGTAAGTATTGTTATTAATCTTTTACTGTGCATATATGTTATCAAAGCTAATTGCAGGTTCCTCTAGAGATGACACCATGCCTGGCACACCGGCACTAACATCCCACACTCATGAACTATCTACTCAACTGACTGACTGGTAACTGTTGGCAGAATTTTCTAAAAGGTAAAAGTAACTATAACCTGAAATGCCACAGTGGATTTCTTTCTTCCCATGTGCTTACATCATATTTATGGGGCAGGATGGAGCAGTGGGAGGACGCAGAGAGGTAGAAGAGAGGGATAGGACATTATCTTGCTCTGAGAGATAAGTAATGTCATTCCTATTTCAGAGATAAAGAGGCTGGGGGTAAGTACCAAGTTTGAGGCCGGATATTCAGAAATCAAATACTTTGTCCCAAATCACATAGCCAGCAAGTGGCCAATCTGGAGGTATGACCGCTGGCCTTTGAGACTCCACAGCTCACACTCCAAGACATCACACAGCATCCTAGTATGTAAACTGCTCAAGAGCAACACACTTCAGTGGGAAGCATAGCCACCCCTTGCTTCCTGCAGGCTTGGTGCTGGCTGTCTGCACCCTCCAGAGTCATCTACTGAGGGAGGTGGGGAGTCCAGGGGGTCAAGGGAGCAGGTGGTTTTCTGGTGCTCAGAGAACCATGGATGGCACCTTCTCCTTCAGATCCCAATGCTCCTTTGCCTTGATCTTACTGCCACACAGGCCCAGGGGCACACTAGCTATACAAAACCAAGGAGAAGTGCTCAGGAGTTGCTGGCCCTTAAAAGGAACACCCATCCCCAGGAGCATCCCAGGGAAGGTGAGGACATGCCCACTAGGACCTCCAACAAGGCCAACAGGTGGCATTGAGTGTTGTACCCTGAACTTCCTTGTTTCCTCTAGACTTCTCCACATTTAGTATTTGTCTGTTCTTCCCAGCCTGAAGCTGCTTTTATGATCCCCAGTGGAAACATAACCAAGAATATTAATGGGTTCCTCACCCCATGTCTTTTTCTTATACTGATCTGGATTAGGTGTGGGGAGTAGGGAGAGCAGTCAGTGGTTTGCCTGGTGTGGTAGACAACTTCCTGTGTCTCTGGACATTGCAGAATACCCTATGTGGAGAAGGAATGATGACAAGGAAACTCACACAGAGGCCCAAATCTTAGTTTGCAAAATGTGGCCAACCTACGCATCTATGATTTGGCTAAAATCAGAGAGAAACATATTCCAGTGTATGAGTCCAAAGGGAGAAATAAGACAGGTTATTCCAGTCTATGGTATAGAAGGGTGGGGTCCATGAGGGTTCTCAGTCTTCAAACTTTGGATCACAATCACGTGACAAGTTTGTAAAAAATGCAAATTTGGGGCCTTACCCCAGATATTAAAATCTAAAGATGTAACCTAGAAACCTCTCTGTTTAATAAGCTCCCCAGGCGATTGTTAATTAGCCAGCCTTCATCGAGCAGTGACTCCAAGCTGCTCCCAGTCGCACAAGAGCCAGCGTCGGAATGCTGGTTCTGTAACTTGTCTGCTGGGCGGCTGGGGAAGAGGCCCCAAGCTCTGTGTCCCCATTGGTAAACCAGGGATAGTGACACTAATCTAAATATCACAGAATTGTTATAATAAAATAATAAAACGTAAACAAAATCTTTAGAAATGATATTGCATTTTATCTAAATTAGCTACTATTTTTGGAACAAAGCTGATCCTTCCAGCAAGAAATGTAGGGAAGCCAGAAAGTTGACCCAAAGAAATCAAAGTACATAGCTGGCTGGCACCTCACTAGGACAAGAGAGAGCATCTCTCTACTTGAATTTTTTTTAAAAACTTGCACCGGGTTGGGGGTGGGGAGCGTCTCCTGCCTCTCTTCCTCCCCCATTCTGTTCTCTTGGGAAAAGACCTTAGATTTCACCAATCTGTCCTGCCCTCTTGTCTTCACAGAATGATTCTCTCAGCTTCTAAGATAACACCAAACTCTCCTGTGCTGTGACCCCACCCTGCAGAGGGGCTTTCTGTCAGCCTAGGGGAAGAGCAAACTTCTTTTATGCTTTAAGATGTTACGTGCTGCATACTGTTTTAATGCAGTGCATAATTATAGAAACTGCTCTGAAAATCTGTATATTTTATCTGTGTTTTATTATACCCAGAATATTCCCCAATTCTTTTTTGTCTACATGAAGCAGCTTAAAATATATTTTGGCATCCTTTATGTCACTCTGAAATTAAATAGCCGATTCTTACTGTAATGAAAATACTTATGTGCCAGCCCAGTGATATACAACACTACACTCTAATTACGGCTGTGCTTTAATTAACCTGAATTGAAGAGTGTTATCATTAAACTGCTGGTAACTTTGAATTATGGCTTTTCTTTAATTTAAAGTAGAAAACACAGATAATTAAGCCTCCAGATAATCAAATGCTTGAGGAGAGCTTCAATGTTTTGGGATGTTCCTAAATCTCATTAAATGTCCTTTCTTTATTGATTATTTCTACCTCTGCTGTATCATTGTGTTAAACGAATAATAGCACTAAGTTGCACCCATTCTCATTCACATCAGAAGGTTGTTTTGTTTTATTGCATGCCGGAAGCTGTACTGAACCAATACTAAATTCTGACAACAAGGTGTGTCTGAGGGATCTGGTCCCTCAGACACACTGGACATGTTCTGGACATGTTCTGAACTTGAAAATCAACCAAAGGAAATATTTACAGCAGTCACTAGTGACCAGCTCTTGAGCTGGCTCTGTAGGGCAGTGGATCATCACATTAACCCATGTGCTGGAGTTGGCAAGCTCACATGTCCCCAGGGCTAGGCCTGGGCTGGACGTGCTGCTCTGGCCTGGTTTGAGGGAGAGGAATGCTACACTAAGCCCTTCCTCACAGGAAACTGGAGCCAGTTAGCATTCACCAGAAATGCAAGTACTGTGTTGGCTCCTCAGATTTTCAGGAGAGGCCAGAAATCCATTCTTTTTGTGAAATACCTCCATTCTGAAATACTGGCAACTAACTTTTAAGAAATGAAATACCGTGGAGGGCAAATTCGTGAGTTAAATTTACCCTGTGGTAAATTTGCTCAATTGCGACTTTAAGGGACAGCAACCCTAACCTTACAGGCTAACACTCTTATGCATTGATTTGGTTCCCAGGAGCAGCAAAGGAGCAGCGGGAAAGCAGGCTTCCAGGAGAGCACCCATGACAGACACAAACCGTGGTCAAGGCAGGGGAAATTAACAACCAAGGGAGGTGGCCTCACATACTCCCTGCTAATGCCTCCAACACCATAGGAGCCCTTGGGGCTCTGCTGGGTGCCCTCACCACCCCTTCATTAGGTACAGGAGACCACAGTCGCCTTTTTATAGAATCAGCTTTTTAATATAAGTCCTGAATTCTCCCAAGCTTTCTATCCTAGGCGGGCCAAGCTCCAAGGTGGAGAAAATCCCCAGGGGCAGCCTCTGTTCTAGGACCCAGTGCCTCTGAATAGTTAACTTCTTTCTTGGCAGAAGGAGAAATAGCTTTCAGAGACAGGAACACATGGGAGTTACAATAGGGCATCCATTTTCAGAAAATAACTTCTTCCGAATCAATTACCTATTCACTTTTCCAGTCCATTTAGCATTTAAACTTTCACTTAGAGACAGAGTGAGAAATTTCAGTAAACAGCCAAACCATTTTGTATCACTCAGGGTCTGGACCCAGGGACAGGCTGAGTGCACCTGCTGTGTTCACTGGCAGGCATCTCCAGGTAAACCCCAAGTTACCAGGCACTCTGTCCCCTCTCCACAGTGCACAGAACAGAAAACTGTGATTGAGGGGAACCCAAGAGCCCCCAGGATCATCCTTCTTAGACATTCCTTTGAATGTCTAAGTTTGGTTCAGTTTCTAGGCAGGTAGATAATACAAGGGAACAGCTTTTCTTCCCCAGTGGCTTCCCAGATTCTCCTGCTTCTTCCCAGTTGGTATCAGTGAGACTGAGTTTCTCAAATCCTTTGCTAAGGTGTCAATGGGTCAAGCTGAATGTTTCAGCATTCCAAGGGAGTTTGTGTTTTCATAGAGAACAAAGCCCCTCTTTGACTTAAACCAACATCAGAGATTCTAAGTGGGGAAGCTGAGGCATTGCCCTGGTGGAAGTTTCTCAGGGTCCAGGACACCTGACAATCCTGATGTCATACCCTTAGGTGATCACCTATTCTACCTTGAGGGTCCATGGCCAAATGGGGCTGCCCTTGCTCAAATCCACCCTGCTAAGCCAGTGTCAGAAGAAGCTGAGTCTTCTTATTGCTACAACATCACAGTTGTCCATGTCAGGGACTTTTCCAAGGTCTCCTTCTGGTTCATGTGGTTCTACATTTCCTCAGCAAATCATGAATGCACTTTGAACAGTGGCTTCTCTGATAACTTCATGATATGACTTAATTGAAAGAGAAATTAAAATTCCTTTCATCAAGGGGCTAGTGAGATTTGCTAGTAAAATCAGAAAGACATGGGTTCACAGCTCCCTTCATAAATGCATCAGCATCACAGGAGCATAATTGAAGATATGCAGCTAAAGTGAGTTCTTGGTTTAGTACAAATGATGGATCCATACCTGAGATTGTCAGGTCTGGAGGAAAAGTAGGGCCAGCAGAAACCCCCAAGGCAGAGACCATGCCAGAACCCACCTTGAGTTCATCACACAAGGCTGAGCATACAGGGCACAGTCTGTAGCTCTCAAGTGTCCCGACTGTGCTGGGCAGAGGTGAGGGGTCTCTCCTGTGAGGGGCACATTAAATATCCCTGACAGCCAAGGACCGTATGGTTGGTGGTCACTTACTCACAAACAGTAGGGAAAGACAGACCCACGAAGGCACTGGAGAGATATTCTGTGTACATTTCATTTGAGACTCCTTCCAAGTAGTATTTCTGCCATGTGTCTTCCTCAATCTAAAGGAGAAGAACAAGAAGAGGGTTTAAGATAATGACAGTAAGCTATGAAAGGAAAACTTGAGTTCTACCACCTTGCAAACAAATGAATGCACTGGCTATGTGATGGTGACCTTCTCCAGCAACCAGGAACACAAGCATATCATCCACTTGAAGCTTTCCCCAACCCTAAATTCACAGGCTAGAAGTATGACCCCTCTAAAGCACCACTTCTTTTTTCTTAAGCATCACCTGAGGATGTGTTCATTGACTTGAAAGAGGAGGGAGCAAGAGAAAGAAATATTGATGAGAGAAACAAGAACATCAATCTGTTGTCCCACCCCAATACACAACCGCCACCAGGGATCAAACCCACAACTCTTTGGTGTGTGGGACAGCATCCCAACCAGCTGAGCCACCCAACCAGGGCTACTTCTTTTTAAACCCGTATGACTTCCAAGCATGTGGGGGAATGGACACTCACTGCAATATTGGTAAGCAGGTAAATTGATGCAGATTTTTTAGAGCAATTTTATAATTGTTAGAAAAACTTATAGAAATCCATACTCTTACACAATTCCACTTTTAAGTACTGACAGCAAAGAAACAAGTAGACAAGTACCATATTTTTTTGGAGTATAAGACGCATCCCTCACCAAATTTGGGAGGGAAGGGGGTACATCTTATAGTCCAAATGTAGTTTACCTGGCTCATTGGGGGTGGGGGGGCTATGTTATTTATGTTGTTAAATATTTTACCACATTTTTTGCTTCAATTTTTTTTCCTATTTTCCTCCTCCAAAACCTAGGTGTGTCTTATGGCCCAGTACATCTTATAGTCCTAAAAATATGGGTATGTAAAGACATATGTATAAGAACATCCTTTCTATTCATGAAAAATTGAGGGGAAAAGCACAGCTTATACATTTATACAATGGAATACAAGTAAGCAATTAAAAACTATGATGAAAATATATATTAATATAGAAATTATGTAAAAAAGCATATTACTAAAGTGTATATAGTCTGATCCTATTTTATTAAATACCCTATAATTATCTGAATGTTTGTAAAACCATGGAAAAATCTAGAAAGCTTTATAGCAAAACACTAACAGGTGTTATGTCTGAGATGTAAAATGACACTTTTTCTATATAGATTTCTCTATTGTCTGAAGGCTTTTACAAAGAAAATATATATTTTCTGTCTAGAAGGTACCTGGCCATGTAATGTGAAAAACAGACATTTATTGAAGAAGATACAAGAAACATTATACAAAGGGCAATGATACCTCAGTCCCTTTCAAAGTAGGCACCTTGGTACTTCATACCCTTCTCCCAATCACCATCAGCTGCCCGGTGATATTTTTCTGAATCTCATCAATGGTCTAAAATCTCTTCCCATTCAAAGGTGATTTTAGTTTTGGGAAAAGGCAGAAGTCTCATGGTGCCAAATCTGGGATGAAGCGGGGCTGAGCCACCTGGGTGACTTGATGTTTCACCAAAATCTGCATGAGATGACACATGAGTGGTTGTGTTGTCATGATGAAGCTGCCAATCACCAGTTGCCCATAGCTGCAGGTTTCTGAATCATTCGAATAGTTTCCACAGAAGAATGTTGAAGCTTAACACAAAATTGGATGCAGATTTGTTGCTCTACTCACTCAGTCATTTTGAATGCAATGCCCACACAGTACACATGCTCACTCAACAGCATCTACCACCCCAATGATGAATACAGTGAAGTCATCATTGTTCATGCATGTGCATTCCAGTCCACTCTCCTTGGCTGCCAGGTTACATCAATGTTGTGCAAAACGTTCTTGTTATAACAATGGCTGGACTTTTTCCAGAGAGTCCTCATATTACAATGAAACAGTACACCTATTTCTACTTTAAAAAAAGATTTTTCCAACCCCATCTTGAATATCACAATAAGTAAAATGTAGTTCCAGAGTGGCCTTACCTCAATTTTCATTAAAATGTAAGGTTTTTCCCTAATTAATCAAGTTCAACTGATTTTCCCAACAATCTTCTTCATGCTAGGAATTTCTGAAAAGGTTTTTACCTTGGAATCAATCTTTATTTTTTAATTTTTTATTGTTGTTCAATTAAAGTTGTCCCCATTTTCTCCCATAACTCCCCCCTGTCCTCCCATCCCCTCTCCCACATTCAATCCTCCCCCTCCATTGTCTTTGTCCATGGGTCCTTTATGCTTTTTCTTTGACCCAACCCTTCCCCTTCTTTCCCTTGTTATTCTCCTTCCCCCTCCCCACTAGTCACTGTCAGTTGGTTCTTTATTTCCTTGTCTCTGGTTCAATTTTCAAAAAGAAAATAGCATCAATCTTTAAAAATTATAAAGTGAGTAACAACAAGAATGACTAGCCCATCTGGGAGCTTGGGCACTTCACTGATTCCCATGGCAGGCTGGCCAGCCTGTGTAGTCCTCGGATATCTGTGAGCTCTGCCTCAGATGCATTTCCACCTGAGGTCTGATAAGGGGGAAGGATGAAAGGGAGCTTCCTAGCCAACAGGAAGAGGGTCTTAAATTTCTGGTGCTGATGTTGAATTAAAAGGCATCTTGCCTATGACCCAACAGTAATTTGGCAGGGGAATTACAATCCTTGAAATTGAAAGAGACTTGAAAACAGTGGGAAATGCACATCCACTCTCTACTTGGTGACACTCTAAAATACAAAAACCAAAAATAATTTAGAAATAAATTGAATACTCCCTGGTTCTATGCTGTTTGTCTTCTTTGTGCTCAAACTAGGTGATTAGATTATGTTGGCTAACCTCATTAACTTGGGCTGCTTCTAACCTGCTCGCACACATTCCACATTAGCTATGCAATGCTGCTGGGTATGGGTTGTTTATCTACAAATTGGTCTTCCCCAGAGTGGGGTCTTTTAAAAAAGGCACTCAAACATTTCTACTGCTAAATGGTATGATTCGAAAAATTAACCACAATGTGTTCAGCCTAAGCATGAACTTCTTCATTTCCTCACATCATAAAAATTTCAACTTTTCTTTTTCCAAATAAAAGACATGCTGGACTCTATAAGCAAAGGTCATTAATTCCAACTAATATGATGAAAGCCTAGTCTGCATTAATAAATAATTTGAAATATTGAATATTTGGGCACTATATTATCATAATTTGTTTTATTGGTAAATAGGATACTACATGAGGGATCACTAATTATAAGTCCTCATAGTAAAGCCTTATGAACAAATTGTATTCTTGAAGTGTAAGATTTCAGCCTATTCTTTGAGCAGAGATATTCATTTTACAATGTGATCCTGATATTGCTAATTTAAATATTACACTTGATTTTCAAAAACAATGAAAATACTAACCTTTATTTCAATACTTTTTTACTATTGGTGGTATTTCTCAATTAATGTGGCTTTAAAATGACTCTCTTAGTTATGGTCAGTGTTTTCATGCCTCTATGTCCTAATAGGATTACTCTTTAGACCAAATTTTATTGTAAGTTAATCACTAAACTTTTTAAATAGATTCTTTATAGAATAACTGTATTATCTGTTTTTGTTTTGAACTTAGCAAAAACTGTTTTTGCTGATTTATTCATTCAGTAAATACTTATTGAGCATATTGTGTCACTTAGGACCTGTTCTAGTTACTTATCAAATCCTACTTGAACAGGTATTTATTTCCCCATATTTTTCTCTTTGCTGGAAAAAAGCATCAGATATATCTGGTTATGATTTATCTGACCAGATACATCTGACTTTTACTGATTTTTTCCCACATTTCTTTTCCTGCAAGTTTGCCTGTGTGGCTGATTTGAAATGCTTGAGAATCAAAAGTCAAATGCTGGAAAAAAAAAATGTATTGAACTTTCCTGGAAAGCAAAATGCCTCTTCCACATATATATGCAGACGCTCAGACTGTGTCTACAACGCTAAATGTGGTAGCATTGAAAAGACTGTAGAAATGCTGAGGAGTTTAAATTCGCTGTCATAACCCTTTAAGATGTCCACATCTTTAACATTGTTTCCATAAAGATAAGTCAACATGTTTTTCAGTTTCTGATAAATGTTCCACACACACAAAAGAAACCACAAAAAAATACTTAATTAAAAATGATAAGATGGTAAATTTTATGTTCTGTATACTCATCGCAATTAAATTTAATTTAAAAACATATGTACAACATAAGAGCGTAAGAATCAGTAATTGATTTTCTGGCAGAGATGCTTTAATCCTGGGCAAGAATGACAAGTTGTGACAGAACCAGGACAGCACCAGGCCAGTCACATCAGCAGGGTCAGGGAGCGAGCATCCAGCCTGATGGCACGGCAGTGTGTCACAGCTCAGGCAACAGGACCTCAGTCTTCAGCCAGAAGTATGGGTTTGTTTAAATGGTAACTTCTCATGCAGGCTTCCCTTTCTGTCTCAAGCATGGTATCTTTGACTCATTTTGGAAAAGCAAAATCAAAAGTGCACATTCCTTTTACCTTTGTCAGTAGTGATGAAATGCATTCTTAGAAAAGGAAAAATTAAGTGTAAAAACAGGCACAGAGAGGTTAAGGAACCCACTGAAGGTCACAAAGCCAATGAGTGGTACAAACAAGATTCAGAGTTCATGTTCTTAATCACCTACCGATTACTTTTTACTAAAGATGACAGGGTAAACATACAGAAGTGGTGATGATAAAATTTGGGGGGTGGGGACAGGAAAGGTTTGCTGTGTATAAGAATCTAAGGGTGAAATATCAGATCAGAAGATCCTCAGAGGCTCAAAACCCTCAACCCTGGGTCATGGGCATGACCCAGGGAGAGGTCGGGAGGAGTAACACTCCCTTTGAGTCAAGCTGAAAGAGACTTCAGGCCTCCTCTCAGAGCAGAACGGCATCATTTCTATTCTATAAAATGGAACCATCTCAGCCTACAGCTTCTTTCCTAAAATAGTACACACTGTTCTCCACATTTGTGTTGTCAATGTATTTTTAACTGCAATGTGAATACACACTTCCCAGCAGAAAAAATGAAGGA